TACCTCGAAAAAAAAATTAATAATAATAATAAAAAAAAAAATATATAATTTCGGTCTAAATCTATTCTTTGGCTGGAATATTTCGTGTTACTCTACTTAATTGACACATACTGCAGTATACATACAAACAAATTATCATTGGTCTATATAAGATCAAATAGAACAGAAAATATAAAGAAAGTAAAAGGTCTTAATTTAGAATAGGACCGTTGATTATACGCTCCATTAAAGATAAAGCGATGACTTGATGTTTTTGGGTCTTAACCGCACGTAAAAGCGTGGCGCAATGATCGATTGCGAACGACCGAAGGTTTAGAATTGTCTCTATATATAATCGTCATAAACATTTAAACAATACAATTTCAAAAGCCGTTATAATTATAGTTTTTTTCTCCCCCCCCCCGCTTGCTGTACAGACCATTAATGCCCTTTGCGCAGCTTTCGCACTAAGTCCGTCCATTTATCACGGTCCATTGCGCGTCATCGAGTTTCACTGTCCTGCTGTATTCTACCGGTCGTTTTTAAGTCTTATAATTTACACTTATCTTATGCCACTACAGTCTATATTCCCGGGGCACTTATCAAGTACGGGGTTTTCGATCGGCATTTGTACATTTCGGAATAAGTTTCCATATACGTTTCATTAACACACGTTTCAACCGTTAAGCATTTCAAAATAAAATTTAATATAATATCGTATAGGTACCCGGTTTCTTCTGTTAATATTATAGGTTTCTCAAAATCAATGTTTTTTTCTTCTTTTGTATTCTCTTGAAGTAACATAATTTCCCATTGGTCCTCATATTTTTTCTTTGTTGACTTTATCGCAATGGTGTTAGTAGTTTTTCTTGTCGTATAGGTGTGACAAACTAAATGCAGCTTTTTACCGGTTATCAACAAAAACATCATTCTCTAACTTGACGATAAGTATAATTTATTAAAAACGACGTATAGATTAGGTAGTATTGAATATTATACGCTTTAATTTAAGTTGTGGATCAAACGAAAAATCAAAGTTAGGCACATTGTTATAAGCATCTAAAAGGCGATACTCCGGACTATGTTTAATTATATTTGTAGAGAATTGTGGTACTAAAAAAGGACGATTGTTTCTTGAGTTGAATGTTAGAATTTTAAAATCTATCTTCGTTAGGAATTCTGGGCAGGGTAGTTGACCGTTTATTAATTTATAGACAAAAGCTATGTCATTATATAACCTATACACCAAATTCTACAGCTAAGGTATCTAGGGAGATATCCATTCGACTCTAATTTATATGCCATCATCCTTAAAAAGCGTCGTTGGATTTTTTCAAGTTTGTCGTTTAGTAATTTTTTTTAGAATTCCAATTACTGATGAAAATTCTAATATGGACCTGACAAGAGAGCAATATAACACATTAAAAACAATTAATGTTTTTAAATTCGGAGCAGTTCTGTGAAAACTTTCATAATAGCAATTTTGCTCACATTTACAATAAAAGAAAATATGACTGAAAAGATTTTTTAAGGAGGTCACTTTTCGATTTTTTTAAAAGTTTTCCAGGGAAAAATATTAGAAAATCGGGAAAAACGTAGGAAAAAAGGGAAAAACAGTACAACATCAAACAAATATTATTAAAAAAATATTATATAATGCCTCTTTAATATTTTATGTATAATATGACATATACAGTTGACAAAGCAATCACTATCAACTGAACTCCACTCAGAATCGTGTTTTCGTTAACAGTGGATTATCGTTGCTTACAGTTAGACATTACCTATAACAGAGGCTGCACACGACTCCATTATCTTAGAACAGTTTATTTTTTATTTTTTATACATTTTTTTAAATGCCGTTATGTTTAATATTTGAACATGATACAATTCTTAAATTTTTCGTTTATTCTTGTGGTTTTTTTTCCGGTTTTCGCCATTTATTATGCAAACCACTGGTAAAATCAAAAAATAACATCCTTAAAGTACCAACCCAGATAGATTTAATTTCAAAAAAAAGTACTATACTTGAAAAGAAAGAAGAATTATTGGTAGAAAAGTTGTTCAAAGAAAAAAATAAATAATTAAACACCATTGTAAAGCCAATTCATTCCTCACTCCGCTCAGAATCTAAAAATCTTGCCAACGCTTTTAATAACATACTAATAATAACTAATGAAAGATGTACTAAAGTTTTTACTTTTTGTTATCTGTATATTGTACAATAAAACCATGTTTTTTTATAATTGGAAACTTTTTTTATCTTTTCTCGGAGATAGATCCATGTCCAGTATAATAAAGTTGCTGCTTAGTGTATAATTGATCTACTCTATAAGAAACTATAGTATCTTTTTATTTTCTATCGAAGTGTTTAATTTGAGTGGATTAAAAACACGTATCGAATTTAGTGATTAAAAAAAAAGCATACAAACTATAAAAGAAATAGAAGGATAAAAATGCTACTGCATTTTTATTATTATGTTTAAATTGATCACAAGTCTTGTTTGAAGCGGAGCGAGAAATTTACTGGTTTTAGTATGATGTGGTTTTTTTTCTTTTTCTCTTCCTTAATAATAACTTTTCGAACAGAAAACTTGCTCTGATGTATGAAGTGTTGATCCTTTTTTTAGTAGGAAATTTTTTGTAGTTGGTGCATTAATGGTATAAACTAAATAACTCCATGTGTCCTACTTTTCCTTTCCTATTTCCATCTCCAAAAGTGATAAACTTATTAGAAATATTAGCCGTTTTTTTTTTTTTTTTTAATTAGAACTGTTGAAAACTAAATAGGTAAATAAAAAAAGTTCAACTTTATGACGGCTCGTTTATAAGAACGTGGTATACGGCAGTTATATTGTTTAGGTAATAAAATGTAAAAATGTAAAGTACAGCATACGTTTTTTTTTTTTTAACTATCACAATTCAAACATATTATACATTACTATTTGATTTCCAAGCTGCGTCTAAATATTAAGTACGATAAATACTAGGTACCCTAATGACAACGCCTTAATCACACGGAAATACTAATATTGGAGAATTTTAGTTAATTATAGTTAGGCAGATAGAAGATTGGAATTTGCATACAGTTTATATTGAACCCCCTCTAAAAAATTCGATAATACATCATCGCCCCCTATTTATTTCATACAGTTGGAAATGTTATTGAACGTGTCTACATAAATTACGTCGTATAATCAAAACAATGCAGAATATAATAATATTATGTAAATTGAGAACGAGTAAACACGAAAATCAAAATTTCATATAATTACATTTTTTAAACACTGCATCGCGCAGAAGATTATTATACGAAGAAAATCTATATAATATTATATTTACTCATTTCCATAGATTAGATATACAGGTGTTAATAATACATGTGCATTTTCAATTTTTGTTAAGCTATTTCGTAGTAAAAAAAAAAAAAAAAACACTTCTATATATGTTTTAAGAAAAAACGGTCATATTTTGCACCATTTAGTTAGTATGTTGAAAGCATACAACTATTCTGAGCCGAACTCGGTAAATCAGTTGTGTTCTTAAGTTGACAAACTGTATTTTTCCCATATAGTCATACAATCAAGGTAACTCAGTATCAAAAAAAAAAAAAAAATGTAATCGATATATTGTCATTTGTTGTCTGTTATTTTTAAGTTTTTAAAAAAATATCAGGTGACAAACAATCAACACGTCTTATATAATATGATTATTCATGGTGTGAATAATTTGGAGTATTATTACGAACCGAAAATGTGTAAAAAAAAATAAAATTCAAATAAAAGAGTTTTAAGAAGTTGAGTCTAATTATTGAAAACCAGACCAGTTTTTAGTGATAGTTAAAATTTAAAACACAACTTATCGTCTAAAAAATTTCCAAATCGGTCCTTAAAATCACGCGAAATATCCGCAAAATGATTATGATGTTCAATTCGTTATTTGTTTACATGGTGAATTGGTACTGAATAAAACACCTCGGTAAAACTAATACGAAATTTCTTCGCAGCAATCAGAATAATCTGAAATGGTATGGTTTTTAAATATTTTATTTTAAAACAAGTCTGACATGAAATATTATTGGGATATTTTAATTGGTTTTCGGCTTTATAGTTAAATTTTTTTCGTTCCTTGTACTTTTCATTCCTCGACTTTAAGATAAAAATATAACGGTTTGGGATTTACGCATTTTTTTATACGCGTTTTCGTACCTACCTATATATTATAATATTATAATATATTATAAAAAATAAGGATTATACGCTGGTGACCAGGTGGATTATATAATCGTCGGACCGAAATGTTTAGGTGACGAGTATTTTTCGCCCTTTGTTTGTGTGTTTTATATCCGACGAAAACTATGAATATTTTAATATTAAATTTTTTTTTTTTTTTGAATTCATTAAACCCAAAATGTTTTGCGGGGGAAAAAACATAATCGCGTTTGTGTAATTAGGACGCGGAATCGCGAGAGACCAGATGTCCGCAGTTCTCATAGCTGAAACTTCTTTGGACGCGTTTCATTTTCACCGTCTTTTAAAAATGATATAGATGGCGTAGTGTCGATAAAAAAGTAATATGTTCACAACGTTTTTCGTCTGGACCAATGATAGTGCCCAAAATAATAATCTTGAACACAAAACACGTATACACAGAATGATTATTTTTTTTTATTTTTTATCACGATTTCGGGATTATTCTGGAAGATTTAACGTCTATTTTATGGAGGTTTTTTTTAGACATTCTTGTATCACTATCGAGTTCCTATTGATACTATATTTTTTAAAAAACGTTATTAGTTTCTATGGAACATAAATAATATAATAAGTACTAGATTTTCATTTTTCAAACTTGTTTCATATTTTCAGTTTTTGAAATTGTTTGTCCGTGACTTGATATCACTAATACGCATTTACCAGTTTAAATAGTCATGTATTGTCGGAACAAATTATGTATTAACAATTTGTATAAATACAAGAATCAGTTAAACTTAAATTAATAATGATCTCGCATTTTTCAATATAGATTGTCGGTAAATTAGTGCGTTAACAAAACAATATTATGTTCTGTATTAATGCCATGAAAACAGCAATAGGCGGCTCGATTATTGCTGTTTCCACCGTTTCCGTTTAAACTGTTAAAACGCTTAAATATACCTTAGAAAGTCTGAAGATCTCTTGGATTAGATAAAATAGCTGTCGTTAAAAACGTTCGTTTCGGTTTTATGTCGAGTATACATAGCCTATGCCCTGTTTACTACTTCTTCGGTAAGGTCCGACTGGGTCTGACAGCACAACCTGAACATTTTTTATAGAAGTGATTGTCTTTTTCTTACGGAGACATATATTTTCCTGTATAAGAAAAGTAATAGGATAGTGCTTTCGTGTGTGTGTGTGAGATAGAGAGAAAGAGAGAAAGAGAAAGAGAGAGTGAGTGAGGAGTTTTTATGTATTGTAAAGAGGGATTTGGGACGATGCGATTAGAACGCAATGAAGTCTCGTAAACATGATAAATTTAAAATTTTGTCTTAAACCAATATAAAAAAAAAAAGTGTTCCCGGAAGAAAATCCTACAGATCTGACGGACGCTAAGCCACGAGTAACAATATAATAGCTCGCGAAATCTGTTTATCTTCGTGGGAAGACAAGAGAACGGACGTTTATTTTATTATTATTTTAATTTTCTTTTTATACGATTACAATATTCCTCTTATTTTTATAATATAATAATATCTTGTAAAGCTCTTATGCTCAAAATAAAACCGCATCGCCTTATTCAAAGACCAGTAAAGCGAAAAAGAAAAAAAGAGAGACGTACGAAAATCGAAATGTTCGTGAAACGTGCAAAAAAAGACGCGTGCTTAATGCATAAAAGAATGTTTACGTATGACGGTAATCCATGATCCAGGTATACGATGGCATTTTTTTTCTTTTTCATTTTTTTCAACTAAACCACGAGTTTCCTAAATTTGTAAAACGTACCTACAAAAAGAAAAAAATCATCCGCACCACTCTTAATACCCATCACTGTTATTGTTAAATATAAACGACAAATCGGATCGGATTAAACGAACTACTAAAATAAATCTAAAATGCATACTATACGACTATATATATTATTTAATATAAAAAAGCGCTTTGGTATCTGTTTATCATCGTGGGAATACAACGGATGGTATTTCAATATACCAGTATACCTATAATATACCTATAATATACCTACCTTAAGAATGCGTTTGTTATTTTTCTTCCGTTTCCTTTAATTAATGTGGAAATCGCCAAAACGAATCGTCACGAGTTATTTATTCAGATGGGTTGAGCGTATGAGCTATGATGGAGGAAACAAATTTTAAGAAATTTAAAAAATTGGTTTCACAAACAACAGAAATTGTAATTATAGAGGAGAAAAAATAATTAAAATTTCTGCACACGTTTCAGAACGTTGGAAACGATATTTTTAATTTTCTCCAATTTTGTAAAATTTGAAATTATTTGTATCATTTAATGGCCACCTTTATCGTAAAAATGTTCCATTATTATCTGATGCTCATTTTGGGAAAAGGAGTTCAGGCGTCTTTACGAACGAATATGACGTTTTAGATCAATAAGCTGGTTTAAATATTTTCATTCACTATCAATATATAAAAAACGGAATTCCTTCCAATTTTTTTTTTTTATTTGAAATAGAGTTTTACTGTATACTATTTGTTTCCATAATAAAATCTGCTGCAGTTTTCATCAGTCATTAATAATTTATTGTCGTGATTAGAACAAAATTCTATATTTTTACAATCCACCATACTTTATTTTCACAGTTATATCATTAACTGGGATCAGAGATTTATGATTCTATAAAGTTAATATTTGATTATATACTTCTATAAAAGTCCTTAGTATTTTCAAAGAAGTTTTTGTACTTGAAAACTGTTTTAATAAAACCAATTTGAGCATGAAACCAGTAATTTTTCAATTTGTACTCATAAATAACGGTAACGAAAACACCTTATATTTTGTATATATAATTTGAACGGCAAAAATAAACTCTTAAATAATAGAACATAGAATATTTAACCTAAAGTGAATAACTTCCTTAACCCAAACAATTTTTTTTTGAGGTGGGTTGAAGTATTCATAATATTGATTATGTATTATATGAGTTGGGACCCAGATTCTAGTGGTTTTGATTTGTATCCATTTGTATATTTTTTAAAATTTCGCCTACTTTTCAAAAGAAATTAAGATGAATATTGCGTTTTAATTTTCTAAACTTCCAAACTATTATAAATACTATTTATATTATGGTACTAATCGACTAATTCGGGAACCCGAGAGCCTTCGGATATAAGTACTACTTTTACGAGTTCGGAATTCAAAAATCTACGCTAGTGTGTAGTTTTTATTATCGCGGGATTCAATTCGGATACGTCCTTTTTTTTTATTTAGTTGGAAATAAAAAAATCGGTTTTGAAAAATAAACGATTTTCTATCTAAATTATACGTATATAGCTTAGATCGTTCTCAGCCTAAATAAGACATTTTATTAGTACCCGGTTTTGAATGACATTTTATTTCCGTCAGAATCGCATTATAAAACATATATCTCTCTATAGACGTGTCAGCCGAATCGCGTGCCGCAATAAAATCAAACTCTTCTTCGTTTTTCCCGAGTAGATTGATTAATGTGTTAATCGTGTTAAACACCCGACCACTGCGATATTCGTAAATTGGATAAACGATTCGCTTTATTCCGAACGTTATCGTATTGACTGTAAACCGTTTTAAATTAAACACTCCAGTGACACATATTTGCCGCACTGCCTATGTATTCTAACACCGAATAACGTTTATGTCTATAAAGTTTCTTCTCCTATTTAATTACAATTAAAAGACTAAAACTTACAATTTGTTTGGAACGATTCGGACGCTGGTTGAGGGGAAGGGGACAAAGTCACAGACGTAAAATATATTCTATAATCGTTCGGCTGATATTTAAATAGTATTTTATTAATATTCACCCATAATTTCCTGCAGTTTATTGGTTTCGGTTTTCGTATAATATAAATATTGCACATTGTGTTAAAAAAACATATTATTTAGTTTCCCTATAGATATGATGGTTTTTCTGCGGTAACGTCATTTCCGTTATTAATTATGTAAAATTTCGAAATTGTCACCTGTAAAATTAAGGAATGGATTTTTTTTTCCCATATTATTTTTATCATTTTCTGTTTAACTCCGAATCAATTACTAATAATTTGATTTTTGTCGAATTTTTCCTGGAAATAGAAACTATTCCACTGCACTGTGTAATTATATTTATATCCATATTTTCTTAGCTAATTTTGGAATACTTTAGGAGCTCCTTCTCTCCTTCTAGACCAAATGAACCCAAACTTAGAAATTAACAGTTGTTTTATAGGTAGATATGAGCGATTATATGCTGTTTGAGTTTCAAAATTAATTGTATTGTGTTGTTACAGTAAGTTTTTATTGAATCCCAAACGAAGCCGGATCGATGAATATTTCAATACGTTTGATAAAAAATCAAAAATGTGCCTTTGGGGGTTTCAACTTTCACCAATTTTTACTATATTTTATAATCAAAATTAATTTTGTAGATTTTGAGTGAAGCGAAGAAGTTTATGGTTTTACTGAGTTATTATTTTTTTTTTTTTGTGGACAACTTTTCTACCAGAGTACTTGCTCCGATATTATATGTAGTAACTTTTCTAAAAGGAAATCGGTTTAGGGAGGTAATTTAAAGAGGTGATTTTTTTAATTTTCTCAAGAGTTTTCTCAGTAAATGTGAAAAACTGGGAAAACCGGTAAAATCGGTACCATATTAAACAAATATTATATAAAGGAAAATATATAGAGTCTATTTAATTATTTTACAATAATATAGCATATATATTGTTGATAAAGCATCACTATCAACTGAACTCCGATCAAAATCGTTTTTTTTCGTAAGAAATGGTTTATCGCTGCTTACATATATTCATTAAATTACCTATAACAGTGGCTGCACCCGTCCTTATTACCCTAAAATGACTTTATTTTTTTTAAGTAGTAAAATTGTAAAATAGTATTATGTTGTAAAATATTTGTGTAATATTTGGTTATTTATTAATTTGCAAATTTCTATTATACAAAATAGGTAGGGGAAAATTTGATTTTAGTTATTTCATATCTCTGTAAGAAGAAAAATCAAAATCAAAGCTGAATATTCAATTGGTACACATATCTCTCTCTGTCACCCATCATTGGTGCCAAAAATGAATATAAATAATAAAACATGAGAATTCTCAATTCCAATATATTCATTCCAACATATTCCAATTCCATGGAATATGTAACTTCACCATGTTTATTTTAATATAAAGTTTTTTGTTCTTTTAGAAATTCAGGCAAAGTTAATGATAGTGAACCTTTCTTTTTTCATTCAAGTAACGTATATAGGATCACAAGTTATGATGCTATCATATAAATTTTATTGTAGACAAGTTTCTAAATTTACCGGTAATGTCTATATTAATTTTATTCCATCGATTTCTGCACAAATACCGTGGATAAACAGAATAAATCCTAAAATAATTTATGGAATACTGTCCATAATTCCCACGAGAGGATTTGAATTCTGATTAGATCAGAAAACCTATCTAGTAACTAGTCAGGATTTATCAATAGGGGGATTGGGGGTTTATAAGGTTTAGAGCTAAAGGGGGGGGGGTGAGGTTTAAAACTCCCAAAACTGGGTCACTACATTAAATTACGCCACTGCACCTTTACACACCACTACTGCACCTACTGTACTTGTACATCACTACACTATACATCTAGTAACGTAACACACGTGATAAACCACGACTTGATCGAGAATACGACAGATAAGCTTTGACAGTAGTCGAGGCTGTCTAACTACGGAAGATGATTGCACTGTTCTACGACTGCAGTGGGCCATCAGTCCCAGACATTTTTTTCTACGTTTATAACCCATAAATTAGTTTGTAAATAAGTTAGTAAGTATAGGAAATTTGTATATTTACATACCGCTTACTTAATAAAATTTTTTTTTTTTTTTTTTTTTTTATTGACTATTAAATTCCCTGAATGTTTTCAATGGCCATTATTAGGTACATACCTATTTGAAAAGTTGTATTTTAGTATATTTTTATCTAAATTTAATTATGCATCGTTTAAAGGGCCATAATAATAGCCTTGATAATCATAATAATTATTTAAGAAATTAAATATTATTGTCAATATTAAAGTTACGAACTTAACAACATTCTATTTTTAATTTCGCCACTTCTTGAC